CCTTCAGGTTCTAGGACTTCGGGGCAGTTTTCCTTTATGATTTCCTGAAGGATATTGTCCAGGCTCTTTTTATCATCATGACTTTCAGGTAGGCCTATAATTTTTAAATTGTCTCTCCTGGATCGATTTTCCAGGTCAGCTGTTTTACCCATGAGGTATTTTACGTTTTCATCTATTTTTTCATTTTTTTGTTTGTGTTTGACTGATTCTTGCTCTCTCATAGAAGTCATTAGTTTCCATTTGTTCAATTCTAATTTTTAACATACTGTTTTTTTCTGTTAGATTTTGTACTTTCTTCTCCAGTTGGTCAATTGTATTTTTAAGGGATTTATTTTCTTCATCGTACTTTTTTTCCAATTGGCCAATTGTGTGTTTTAGGGACTTGTTTTCTTCAGTGTACTTTTTTTCCAATTGGCCAATTGTACTTTTAAAGGACTCTTCTACCTCTTTCATTTGACTTTTAAAATCCTTCTTGAGTTCTTCTAAGAAGGCTTTTTGGGCTTAAGACCAGTTCATATTCCCTTTTGATGTTGCAGATGTGGGTTTGATGACAGTGTTGTCCTCTTCAGAATTTCTGTCTTGATTTTCACTCTTCTCATAATAAGAATCTATCCTACGTTTCTTTTTACTCATGGTGTTTCTTTATTCCCTGGCCTTTATAGAGATTAAATTGTCCTGCTGGGGAGCAGAGGGCGCTGACCCAAGCTTCTTATGTTTGGAGCCTAGGTCTTGGTCACTGGCTTTGAGAGCTGGGGCCTCTTATGTTGGCAATTGGAGGCTGTAGGTTTCTGGCAGCTTGTCTGGAGTTGGGCTGGAATCAGCAAGGCTGGGACTTTCAGGTAAATCTAGGCTGCCTGCTTTTCCTTTCCTTTAGCTTTGTTTAGCTCCTTTTAGATAAGTGCTTCCAGGTGTTTATCTGCCTGGGGCCCCTTGCATTGCTGCCTCCCTTATTTCTGTTGAGGTACCGGGAGACTTCTTTGCTGTAGAATGCTGAGGCACCTGGTGGTTTTCTGAGCTGGTTTCCACCAGTTACCCCACCCTCACTGATGCGCTCGAAGGTACAGCTGTTGGCGTTTGCCTGCCCGACCACCTGGTCTTTGTGATCTCCTCCTGGTTGGCAGTTGGAGGCTGTAGGGTTCTGATAGCTTACCTGGGGTTGCGCTGGAATCAACAAGGCTGTAACTTTTTGGCACCTCTAGGTTGCTTTCTTCAGCTCCTTTCATATGAATGCTGCTGGATGCTTATCCACCTGGGGCCCTTTGTAGTGCTGCTTCCCTTATTTTTGCTGAGGCACTGGGAGACCCATTTGCTGTAGAATGCCAAGGCACCAGAATCTCCTCCTGCTGTGTTAAACTGGGTCTTTCCACTAGCTGGCTAGGCGACTCCTGTTTCATACTGCTCCCCTTCCCCCAGGGTAAGAGGGGCCTTTCCTGTTAATCCCTCTAGCTACCTGGGCTACTGCACTGCTGTACCCCGTCTTTCTTCTGGTTCAGCTGTTCCAGGGTTTTTTCTGGGGTGATATTTTCTGGGTTTTCAGAGGTTGATATGGGAGGGTGAGAGCGACTACCTTTTTACTCCGCCATCTTGGCTCCCGGAAGCGGAAGCCCTTCTCCACTTTAAAAATTCTTAAATTACTTTGGTTCTTAAATTCTTTTAAAAATTCTTAAGATATTTTTTAAATTCTTTAAAAAATTTAAAATTAAAAAAATTGTTCCTGTTCCCCGTACCACCTCAGCCAATTTAAAATGGGACCTTGATTCCACTGTCCCACACTTGAATAATGGAAATTTATCCTGGTTATGGAATTTCTTTCTTGACTTGTGTTATTGTTGTTCTATTTATATAAGTATAACTTTGCCTTGTTGACCAGGAGAGCTTGTATGTCCATTAGCATCCAATTGTGTAGTGCAAGAGAAAGATTAGATTTCACTTTAGACTATATAGAAATAAGTATAGGGATGTGTGATCCAAGGGTAAAGTGTGTAAGACCATCAGGTATACCCACATATCTTGCCTATCACACAATCCTGCATGTTCTAGAATGATCAATGTGTATCACTTATATTGTAATATGTCTGCTTATTCTGAAGTGATCTAGACTGGTAAATGTATTATGAAATAACTTATCCATATGTATCTGAGGATCTGTCTGTGATGATAGATGGAGATAAATTAGTCCATTGTATAAAAAAAGGAAGCCATCCTGACTGTGTGAGGCCCTTGCAAGGATAGATCCTTACCTGCCAACATCTTGTAGCCTTTGTATCCCCAGAATAGGAGTGGAGCCCTTGGGAGGGACTACAGCCACATAATTTGTTTACTTTAGGTTGTGAGGGCAGAGACTGACTTTTACCTCTTTTTGTATTCCCAGCACTTAGCACAGTGCCTGGTCCATAGTAGGTGCTTAATAACTGTTTATTGGCTGACTGAGACCTACAACTCCTCCTTCCCTTTTACCATTTGCAGTTTGAATGTTGCTAAGTAAGTAAAAGCAATTTTATTGTATCATATGTTGCATGGACCTTTCTTTGTCAGGAATAATCTAGCAATATCAGACCAAAGGATTCATGAAGTAAGTTTATTTATAATTTGATCACCCATACTAGCAAAACAAATTGAAAGGAGAATTCATATTTCCTAGATTATAACATGCTTCTCCTTGGAGAACCCATTTATTTAGTTCTTCATTGTAGCTGTCTTAGGTAGACATTATAGATGAGTGATGAAATAGGCCAAGTTCAAAGTGCTTTCAGTGATCTAAATTAGTCCTTAAGGACAAAGTCAATATCTTTAACACTAATGTTCTTTTGGCGATGCTATTGAGCCATAAATAATGGTACATTATGATATAAGAATAATCAAAATTACAAATGATCCAAGGGGCAATTGATATGTGTATAATGAGTGTCAGATTGTGTCATGTTACCAATAATATGTACAAGTATACAAGAAGTAGCATTAAGGACATAGGTGATCAGAATGAGAAGCAATAGGATCACTTGAGTGCAACATTGGTACCCTAAAGATATGCTTAAAGTAGAGGAAGCTGTCAAGCACATTAGATAGATACAAAAAGGACTAGAATCGATCAACAAGCATTTATGAAGTACCTACTGTGTTCCAAGCACTATGCTAAAGGCTGGGGGTCACAATAAAGAGGAAACAAACCCAGTCCTTAGGGAGCTTAATTTGGGGGAAACCACCATTACTTATATAAATACACAAAACTAAAAATGGGGAGTTAAGGCCACTAGCAACTTGGCAGATGGGAGGATTGGAAGGATTGAGAAAGGCTTCATGTTATGATAGATAAGCTGTTTTAAAGAAAGCAAAGGATTCTAAGAGGCAGAGTTTAAGAGGAAATTTCAGTCATGGAAATAGGAGATGTAGTATCATGTAAAGAACAGCAAGAAAATTTGGCTAGACCATAGAGTGCAGAAAGGGGAATAATGACTAAAAAGGCAAGAAATGTAGGTTGGGGCTAGTTGTGAATGACTTTAAAAGCCAAAAAGAAAAGCTTGTATTTTATCCTGGAATCAACAGTAGGAAACTCTTAGAGTTTGCTGAGTTGGAGTTTGATGTACGACTTGAGTTTTAGGAAAATCACTTTCATAGCTGTGTGAAGGATAGACTGAAGTGGGGAATGAATTGAAACAGTATTAGGATCCATTAATATCTAAGATTTATTATGAGGATATTGCAGCATTTCTGGCAAAAAAATGATGAGGTCTTGAACTAGGGTGATGGCTATGTGAGAAGAGAGAAAACAACAGATGATGAGAAATGTTATGGAGGAAGACATGAATCACATAGGATAGGACATGTGAAAATTGCAGTTTGCACTAGTGAAAGGAATACTCACACCAGTGCAATCGTACAAGTATGTAAGTAAAGTCATACTTACATGTTTTATTGAGGTGAGTTCCTGCACATCTTCCCAAGGTACAAAGATTTTTAATATGGGCCCAATAATGGACTATGTGTTTGTCATCTGAGGATCTGTCTGGCTCAGTGGGGAAAGGCTCATCATGAGAATGTTGGCCAACAGGTGATACCATTCATGGTTCCAAAGAACTGATTATGATAAATAGATAGATTATCCATTACGGAGAAATGACAAATTTAGTATGCAGAATGAGGCATATTTATATTTATACAATTATTGAAGGAATTGGTTTTGTTTGACTGCACATGTGTTATAAAAATTTATTTTTATTTTTTCTTCAGTTGTATAGAGGGTGGGAGGGAGAAAAAATAGATTTTTGTTCATTAAAAAGGTGAGGAGATGCTACAAATGTGAAATATTGTTTGCATTTTCAGATAAAATCACTGTTATTAGTCTACTTAACTGCTTTTCTTTGTTAAAAGAGCTCTTACAAAATGGGAATGATCTATAAACATATATGTAATGTAGAAACAAAACACGTCAATAAATCTTTTTAAAAATGCATGAAGAATGGAGGGGTTGGGATTTGTATTAGTGGAGGACATACCCGTATTGGTGAAATCAAGAATCTTTCAAACTTTCAAAGTTAAATATATACAAAAATAAAGTTCTCTTACTGATTTCAATAAGGCGGTTATGGTTCATCTCATAATTATATATATATATATATATATAGATAGATGTAGATATATATATAGATAGATAGATAGATATAGATATAGATATTTAGTAGAACTCAGAGTGAAGAAGGCAGCCTAACAGTTTTTGCCTCTGAGTTAATTCACTAACAAACAGCCTTTTGTTTGGTTGCCCTTTGGTCTTCATTTTTTATTTTTTGTTTTGTTTTGTTTTTTACTTTTAACTTAATTTGTTTCATTTTACATGCAAAATAGTACCTCTAGTGACAAAGTGAACAATCATACTCCCTGTGGCTTTATATTCTGTGAAGCACAAAAATGTGTAAGACATGCCTAAGACATAGGATCATATGGTGAGTGTTATGCCTTGAGTGTTCCAGATAAGATTTATCATTATCTCTTTCTCTTTTCCCTAGGTGTCTTTGAGTACCACAGAGGTGGCACTTGCACTGAATAGATATCTGTGTTCTGCTGTGCTCCCTCTCCTCACAAGGCATGCTCCTCTGTTTGCTGGGACAGAGCATTACACTTCTCTGGTTGATTCCACACTTCAGACTATCTATAGACTCTCCAAGGGACGCGCCCTTACCAAAGCGCAGAGAGATACCATAGAAGAATGCCTGCTCTCTATCTGCAAGTAAGTAAAGTCCTCATGTATTTCTCATTAGTATTTATTCATTTGAATTCAATTGCACAGAAGTATGCACATAAATAAAATTGTACATTTGAGAACCTGAAGTCTGGGGCATCTTTCTATAAATTTGATCCTCAGCTGTATACTTTCTTCAGAAACCCTCTTTACCTCATCCCCTATTCATTTTGCCTCTCTAATCAATTGCCTCCCGTCACTTCATTCCTCTGATTATTTATTATCTGACTATCACAGGATGGTAGCCAGTGCTTACGAAAGTATTGAGGATAAGGTACCTAAGACTCCATATTATATAAGATGAACAGTCAGACTACCACCTCCTCAGCCAACACAAGATTTTTCATTGCTTGGAGTGACTTGGATGTTAGTAAGATTAATACTATCTGAGGTACTTGAAGATCCCAAACTATGGGGGTAAGCTCCTCTGCAATTCATTTGAATTCAGCAGATACATATCAAGTTATTGTCATATTATAGGGGCTACAGCTACAAAGATGAAATGATACAACCTCTGCCCTTAGGGATTGGCTGACAGTCTAGCAGGGGAAATGACACAAATTTCTTCAGTACTTTGGTGCAAAATCATGAAATCTGAGATAATGTTGGTATGAGTTTCCCCCTCTACTAATCAATCAATATTTATTAAGTACCTAATATATGCCAGGCACTGTGCTAAACACTGATGATAGAAAAAAAAGGCAAAAGATAATCTCTGTCCCCAGGGAGCTTACAGTCTAATGGGGAAAACAGCAAACAAATATGTACAAATAAGCCATATAGAATTAATAGGAAGTAATTAGCAGAGAGAAGACAATTAAGAGGAGTTAGGGAAGGCTTCTTGTAGAAGGTGGGATTTTAGTTGGGACTTAAAGAAAGTCAGAGAGATCAATAATTGGAGCGGAGGCAGGAAAGCATTCCAGACATAGAGGAAAGCAAAAGAAAATGCCCAGAGTCAAGAAATAGTGTGTCTTGTTCATGTAACACACAGGGGGACAGTTTCATTGGATCAAAGAGTATCTGGGGGGGACATAAGGTATAAGAAGACTGTAAAGGTAGGAGGGAGCTAGTTTATAAATGGCTTTGAATGCCAAAGAGGGCATTTTGTATTTGATCTTGGAGGCAATAGGAAGCCACTGGAGTTTATGGAGGCCAGGGCAAGACAAGGCGGGGTTGTGTGTGACATGATTTGACCTACACTTTAGGAAAATTGTGGCTGAATGGAGGATGGATTAGAGTTGAGGGGGCAAGGCAGGAGATTTGTTACAGATATTACTGAAGGTTTTTGAACAGAGAAGTGATGGAATCATAGATTTCACAAACCAGCAGTGTGAAGGATACATTAGAAAGAAGAGAAACTACAACGGATTGAAGTGCAGGAAGATGTGAAGAATTTAAGGCAAGAGAACAGCAACTTGAGAACATAACAATATTAAAGGATTTTTTTTTTTTAGTGTAGAGAAAGCATATCTGTAGGGGGAAGGAGTGGGACCAATAGAAAGAGAAAGATTGAAAATGTGCAAGGGGTTGAGGGGGATGGAGCCAAGATGGCAGAGTAAAAGCAGTGACTTGTTTGAGTTCTCCCCCAAACCCCTCCAAATACCTAAAAAAATGATTCTAAACAAATTCTAGAGCAGCAGAACCCACAAAAAGACAGAGTGAAACAAATTTCCAGCCCATGACAACCTGGATGGTTGATAGGAAAGGTCTGTTGCTCCGGGATGGTGGAGGAGCACAGTTTAACATGGGTCACACAGGCAAAGACCAGGACCAGAGAAAACCAGAACAGGCCTCAGGGGACTGAATCACAGGAAGTTGTGGTGGTTTCCAAACTTCACGACCCACGAACATTAAAGACAACGTAGAAGGTCAGTAGGAAAGGTCTGTCAGACCTGGGTGAGAAAGAAGCAGAGTCTGGCCCCAGCCCTAGCACAGCCCTGGGGTGCCTGCTGATTCCAGAGCTCTTTGCCCATAGACAGTGGGGGGAATCAAGCAGCTGATCAGAGTGGGATTGTAGGAATCTCTTTGCTGATGCTGAGGCAGGATTCTCTTACTTTGCCCATGTTTGGATCTGAGTCACAGTTCTGGGTGGTGATCTTGAGGTGAGGAGGAGCACTGGCATGGTGGAGCTTGTGGCGGTAGTAGAGATGGAATCCTCCTCACAGTTCCAAGGCAGAAAAGAGTACTTGTGCTCACTCATAGACCAGAGCACAGGCCAGGAAAGGAGTAAACACCTTGCCTTTGATCATACCACCTTGGAAGAACTGAAAGTCTACAGGTCCCTAGAAGTATCTTTGAAAACAGTTGCACAAAACCCCTGAAGCTTGGGATAGTACATTCTCCACACTGGAAGCAGACCCCTACTTTAACAAAGAGTTTAAAAGTTAAGTAACTGGCTGGGAACATGAGCAAACAGAGGCAAAAAAGTCAGACTGTAGAATCTTACTTTGGTGACAAAGAAGATCAGAACATCCAACCAGAAGACAACAAAGCCAAAGCTCCCACATCGAAAACCTACAAGAAAAATGTGACTTGGTCTCAGGCCATGGAAGAGCTCAAAAAGGGTTTTGAAAATCAGGTGAGAGAAGTAGAGGGAAAATTGGGAAGAGAAATGAAAGTGATGCAAGAAAATCATGAAAAATGAGTCTGCAGCTTGCTAAAGGAGAACCCAAAAAATGCTGAAGAAAATAACACCTTAAAAAATAGGCTTACCCAAATGGCAAAAGAGGTCCAAAAAGCCAATAAGGAGAAGAATGCCTTAAAAAGCAGAATTGGCCAAATGGAAAAGGAGGTCTAAAAGCTAACTGAAGAAAATAAATTCTTAAGAATTAGAATGGAGCAAATGAAGGCTATGAGAAATCAAGACATTATAAAACAAAACCAAAAGAGTGAAAAAATAGAAGACAATGTGAAATATATCATTTGGAAAACAACTGACCTGGAAAATAGATCCAGGAGAGAGAATTTAAAAATTATTTGACTAACTGAAAACCATGATAAAAAACAAAAAAGCCTAGACATCATCTTTCAAGAAATTATCAAAGAAAACTGCCCTGGTATTCTGGAACCAGAGGGTGAAATAGAAATTGAAAGAATCCACTGATCACCTCCTGAAAGAGATTCCAAAAGGAAAACTCCTAGGAATATTGTAGCCAAATTCCAGGGTTCCCAGGTCAGGGAGAAAATATTGCAAGCAGCCAAAAAGAAACAATTCAAATATTGTAGAAACACAATCAGGATAACACAAGATTTAGCAGCTTCTACATTAAGGGATCAGAGGGCTTGGAATATTATATTCCAGAGGTCAAAGGAGTTAGGATTAAAACCAAGAATCAACTACCCAGCAAAACTAAATATAGTACTTCAGGGGAAAAAATGGAAATTCAATGAAAGAGAAGACTTTCAAGCATTCTTGATTAAAATTCCAGAGCTGAATAGACAATTTGACTTTCAAATACAAGACTCAAGAGAAGCATGAAGAGGTAAACAGGAAAGAGAAATCATAAGGAACTTATTAAAGTTGAACTGTTTACAGTCTTACATGGAAAGATGATATTTGTAACTCATGAGACCTTTCTCAGTAGTAGAGTAGTTGGAGGGAATATATACATACATATATATATATATATATATATATATATCTACACACACACACACACACACATATGTATATTTATATATAGACAGAGGGCACAGGGTGAATTGAATATGAAGCGATGATATCTAAAAAATAAAATGAAGGGGTGAGAGAGGATTATACTGGAAGAAGGAGAAAGAGAGAGGTAGAATTGGGTAAATTATCTCACATAAAAGAGGCAAGAAAAAAATTTGGCATGAAAAGAGTTCCAGAGGAAGCAAAGGCAGATATTTGGTGTAAAAATAAAATTTAATTTGAAATAATTATAATACTGTCAAGGGCTGGCATTATATTTAATGGGGACAGAGACCCCATGGACAATTTTCAATATTTTAAAATAAAAAATCTTTGTACACATAAAAAATCATTTTCAGGATACATCAAAATGGGAAAAACTTTGCTGCAAGTTTCTTTGATAAGGGTCTCATATCCAAGATAGATAAGGACCTGATAGGAATGAGTTATTTCCCAATTGATAAATGGTCAAAGGTTATGAACAGTTAGTTGTCAGAGGAAAAAAATCCAACTGGGAGTTGGTAGCTAACATCACCAAAATCTTGATTGGGTAATAAATTTAGTGACCCTCAAAGGTATCTCTAAGGTTGTTGAGAAAGAACCTTAGAGATACCTAGACTAACCTACTCATTTGCACATGAGGAATATTTGAGTCCTAAAGAAGCCAATGGACTCATCCAATTAGTGGCATCACTAACGAGCTTGAGCATTTCTTGAGCATACTTTAACACATTCGTCTGTTAGATTGCATAAGTGGATTCAGTTCAACTCAAAAGTTGTGTATTAAATGTAGAATATGTGTGTCAGGCATTTTGTTAGGCCTGGAGAAGATTAAAGGTAAAAAATAACATGGGCCTGTCTTCAAGAAGTTTAAAATCTAATAAGGATTTGATATGAACACAGACAAGTATGCTGCAAGGTAAAGTGTCATCTGCCCAAAGTAGAGATGTAAATAAAATGCTCTGAGAAACTACAAAGAGGCTCAGATTCTTAAAATCTGGCCAATAGCAGAGACTCACTAGGAATCTCACTCACCCCAATCAGTGTTCTAATAAACCCTGTCTTTGGCTGAAAAAAAAAAAGAAAGAAAATGCGAAGACAGAGAGCTCAATTAGTGGGTTTGGGGGAATTTTGTGAAAAATAACTAATGAGCTCTTGAAAGGGACAAAGAAACATTAAGTTCTAGTCGTGAGAAATGTAAAATATATGGAAACGAAACTTACGTCAGACAAAATTGGAGAATAGTAATCCAAACTGTAGTATGCAAAAAAATAATAGGGTTAAATAAAGCTGGTAATGTTGGTCAGTTGAGGTTATATGACAAATTTGTAGTGGATACATAACTTTATAGTGATCACAGTTTAATGATTTTCTTTAGCTCCATTCAACAGCACTAGAATAAGAGCAAAGGTGGAAGATGGTAAGAGTAAAGAGTGGTTGAGTTTTGACAAGGCATGATTGGCAATAAGACAAGGGTGAAAAGGAATCAAGAGTGGAGGATAGTGTAGTTTTGACTTCATCAGCTAAAAGGTAAGAAGGGAGAAAGGAAGAGAGAGCAACTAGTGCAGGAATTATGGCCTAGGGGAGAATTGAGTAGTTAGCCAGGTGAAAATGTGCCCTAGACAGTCATAAGTGTGGAATGAGAGCTCAAAAGAATTGGGATTGATTATGGAGTTTGAAGTCATCCACCTAGCAGTATTGAAGCCATGGGAAAGTAGGAGAAATTCTCTAAGAAGAATATTGATAGAGAAAAGGACAGTGGATAGGGTCTTAGGTGACACTCACGTTTTGATGGTGGGAGGACAATATACCAGCAAAGAAGATGAAGTAGCAGTCAGGGAGAAAACCTGAGAGAGCAGTGTCATTGAAACTAAGAGAATTCAAGGTAGTCATCAGCATCAAATGCTACAAAAAGTTCAAGGAGAATGAGGAGTGAGAAAAGTTGTTGGATTTGACAATTAGATCATTAGTAGCCTTTAAAAAAATAATGGTTTCAGTAGAGTGCCAAGTTAGAAAGCCAAGTGATTAAATAATGAATGAGTGGGGAGCAATTAGGGGCAGAAAATGTAGACTACTCTTCATAAAAGTTTAGCACCAAAAAACAGATTCCCTTCACTTTTTTTTAAGAAGTCTATATTTTTTAAAGGTCATTTAGTATTTCCTGATGAATTTGAATATATTGAAGAACTTTTATTTTGAATCTAATAGCTTTGGGACTTCCCATAACATACCAATGACGAATTTTTTCCCTTCTTCCACACTACAGTCATTTACGGCCTTCCATGTTACAACAACTCCTGCGCCGTCTTGTTTTTGATGTACCACTCCTCAATGAGTACTATAAAATGCCGCTTAAGGTAAATATCCTTTCTAGTGATTAAATCCCAGTCTGTGCCACAGAAAATGTACAACAAAACAAACTTTTTACCATTTTCAGAAGAAAGGCAAGCATCTATGAAATTGATTTCATTCCTTTAAGTTGCTAGTTAGTGACTAAGACATTACTAGCAAAAATGAACCTCCATTCTTTAGGGTGAGGATAGCAAATATGCTAGATTTAACTACATGTTTGATTTTCTTTAAATATTTTTATTAGTTGCTAATTCCAATTCCATTAATAATTTCCTATATAAGAGATAATTCAAGGTGCTTCTGTCTTCCAAACTCACTTCTAACACTTAAACTACAGTACATTGGCTCTTTTGTATTTGATACTATATTTCACTGCATAGTCGTCGCACCCTATTTTTTTTCAGTTCACAAATTGGTTTATAACCTTTCACCGAGTAATCATTGAGTGGGATAATTCAGTTAGTCACACCACTCAAAAGGTAAACACAGCAGCAATGTATTCACCAGTGGCATATGGATATGCATTTATCTTTCTCATGTTGTAAGTCACAAGCCTAGAATTCTCAGCGCATGTGCACTGTTAGTATATTTCTGAAAGCGCAACTTGCATGGTTTGTTGAGAGTGCTGCAGTACTAACTGTATTGTCACTCAGTCTAATGAAGAACCATAGGCACAAGGGTCTACCATGAGTAAGTCACATGATATGGTAAGACTTATATCTTCCCAATTTTAACATATATTCATGAGTATTCCCAGCATCCTAATCTTGCACCGAACACAGTTTAGTAATAATTGATTTTTAATTAATACAAGCACACTTTTTAAATGCTTCACATAATGGTCACATTTCACTTTTTTGCAAAAAATTTGATGTAAAATCTGCGACACCTATGCAGTGAAATATGGTATGTTTTTTTTTTCTCTTCCTCATTTCTGAAGGCTAAGCCTTGTGTTCTTATACTTTATTTCCAGATCTTTGGGAGAAGCATAACATCTCCTATTTCACAATCACTTTTGTTGTTTTTCTTTAGTAAGCACTGAGGGCAAGAGAGTCATATCTTTTACTTTAAATATATATATTTTTTTCCTGATTAGGCAAGTCACTAAACCTCTCTTGAGTCTCAATTACCTCATCTGTAAAATGAAGTTGTTGGATTAGATAACTGTCTCTAAGAATCTAAGATCCCCTAAGATCTAAATCTAAGATCCCTCTGCTTTTCTTATAACAGCCTTTTTAGTTTTTATTATTATCATTCATCAGCAGCTAACATTTATATAGCTCTTTAATGTTTGCAAAGTATCTTGTGTATATTATCTTATTTGCTCCTTACAAATGAGGAAACTGTGTCTCATATGAGTAAAATGTCTTGCTCATGGTCATATAGCTAGCACCTTTATTTGAACCCACTTCTTAATTCTAGAATTTTATCCACTGTGCTAACTTGCCCCTCACTTAAATCATTTTTAAAAAGTGAATTGATATGAAATCAGTTTTTACCCAGTCTTACTATATGTGATAAAAACTGAGGCCCAAAGTCATTCTTCAACTTTCTGTCATGCAACAAGTTCTTAGCAGAAGAGGTAGCAGTCATACTCCGGGATTCCCTGTTGTTCGTTCAAATCACCCACTGGCTTCCCTTTTTTCCAGACTTGGGATAGGAAGTGGTAGAGGCAGGATTTAGGCCCCAGTCTTCTGATGCTAAGCCCAAAACATTTTCCACTGCAACATGAAGTGGTGGATTTCTCGTGCCTGCAGAAAGTCAAACTGAAGGCAGCATCTTAGAGTTCCCGGTGCTTCAAACCTCCCTTTGCTGTCCGACACAGGCACAGGTTCTGTCAGTTGCCTCTTTTCTTACAACACACATTCCTAAGACATTTGTAATGTCCTACTGCCCTCTCCTGGGCAGGATATGTCAGGACTACTCAGCCCTGGATCTCTTCTAACACTAGCAGGTTGTTAGATGGTTTAGGCAAAAGCAAGTTGTGGTCAGTAATAGAGGCAGGCAAGAGAAAGACCTGTAGCAGGCCTGCACAACCTGTACTGGCAGCTGCTTATGGCCCTCGGGCCACTTGTAGCATGCCAAAAGATTTCGGGCAGTCCAAGAAAATGTAGAGGAAAACATCCTTTGAAAGTAAAAGAAATATGGGCATAACCAGCCAGCAGGTTGTACAGGCCTGATCTAGACTCTTCCAAACCCCCATTACGACAATTACATAGGAACTGACACATTTATGGGATCACAAGGAGTTGGACATGCCTGAAACGACTAAACAACCACAAATCACATGTAGAGTCAGAGCTTTCAGGCCATATCATTCCCACCCCTGATGGGTCAGTAGTTTCAAACAGTAGAGATTTCTCTACTCTTTGGAGTAAAATGAAGAAATTCACCCCACTTTTTTCACTTGTTACTTAGACAAAAAGTATGTTAGGAGGATCATGAGTTAAGCAAATTCAACCAAGTCCACAGCTGGTTAAAATATGAAAGATATCTTTTTCTTACACTGTTTGAAGGTCTTTCTGCTGTTCTTTTTATTACATATCTTTAGTACTCTTCTCATCATCTTGACTTGCTATTTTTGCACGGTAATTTTGTGTGTATTATAAAACATTGGCGAATTTTCTTTGCTTCAGCCTGACAGTACTCTTTTGTTTCATCTTCCTAGCTTTTGACAAATCATTATGAACAGTGTTGGAAGTATTACTGCCTCCCTTCAGGATGGGGGGGCTATGGCTTGGCAGTGGAAGAAGAGTTGCATTTGACAGAGAAGCTCTTCTGGGGGATTTTTGACTCTCTCTCTCATAAGGTAATGACTATGTCATTAAAGGAGGTAAGGGACACAATGATCCAAGAAATTAGTGAGGAAGAAGACAAACAAGGGTTCCTAAACTTTGTCTTTGTTTTCAGTGCTTTGACCAAATACATATTCATTTTTTTTTGCTGAGGCTATAACCCTTCATTGGTAAATTATTTTTCCCCTCACATACAAAATACACATTAGAAGTCATCAGAGGGGTATATTAACCCAACTGGCTGCTATTGCTTCCTTTGCCCCCTCCTTTTTTTTGTTGGACTATATATGCCATAGCTCAGCTACCCTACAAGAATGACAGCTTGCATTTTTATAGCATTTTAATGTTTGCAAATCCTCTTGCTCACAACAGACGTTGGGAGGTAGGCATCATTATGTTATTATCCCAATTTTACAAATGAAAAAAACTATTTCCCTGAGAGGCTAAGTGACACAACTAGTAAGTGTCTGAGGTAAGATTTGAGCCCAGATCTAACTCCCATGTCCAGTATCTCTCAAAATTGATATGCTTTGATAAACTATTTCACCTCTACCTGTTCAGTTTTACTCCTTTGTGTAGTCCTTGTTAATAAGCCCTTATTTTATTCAAAGCAGAAATGAAAACGGTCCTCTAATAATCTCTTTTCTGCTTAGAGAGAATTTTAGGTTTGCAGATTTTGCCAATAATTTATGTAATTCCTCAGTCTTAGGGGACCAAGCTCATTGAGACAGACCTCAAGTTTACAAACTTTGCTGTTCTCCTCTGCCCCTTTTCTTTGTGAGTCTTGATATCCCCATCCTCAGGAGAATAAAACTGGGTGTTCCTAGTTTTCCTTGATAAAACCTGGAGCTTAATTATAGTTTGTCTAATACCTCCCCTCCCTTTAGCATTTTTTGGCCATCTGAGCTTCATGTCTTCATCGTAATTATTAGGGAGCAGATGACCACCCCTTTCTTTTTCTGGAAAATAAATGAACTTGGTTATTATTCTTATTTCTTCTGATGCTTCTGCATTATGGCTGTGATTCACTTACTAACATGTTATGTGTTTTTTAAATTAGATTTCCAACTAGTTCCTATTTTTCCCACAGAAATATGACACAGATCTCTTCCGAATGGCCTTACCTTGTCTCAGTGCAATAGCTGGGGCCTTGCCACCTGATTATTTAGACACCAGAATCACAGCCACATTGGAAAAGCAGACCTCAGTGGATGCAGAAGGAAACTTTGACCCCAAACCTATCAATACCATCAAGTGAGTCCAAAATACTTTGTAAATTAATGTTTTTGTCACATAGCTGTTTTTTCCCAAAGATACTAGCTTGTCAAGATTTGGCTTGTCTTTCTGGCTAGTACCTGTCCTTGCAATCCTAAGTAATCTAAGTCATTTTTCCAGGGCACCATATTTTTTATGTTATTTTAAAATATAATTAATTTATATCTGATCATGTACTACATTATCACTCTTTGGTTTTTGTTCATGATAAAATAGAGATGAGTTCTTTCTACTGAATAAATATAGCTTAAAGCCCTAAGTCAATTTCCCTGATAAATGATGCAATTAGTTTATTAATGGTTTTTGACAAAACCTTCATTTAGTTTGTAAATTAGTACTGTAAGTTCCAATAGTATAATAAATCAAAATAAATCCATTAACATTCAATTCAATTTCCATTCAACAATCATATATTAAACATTTGCTGTATGTAGTGCACTGTGTGCTAGGTCCTGGATGTGTAAACAAATTTATTGAGGCTTCAGAAGGATGTAGCAAGAACAGTTTAGCCTTCCTCTTTGAGAAGCCATTTACCCTTTAATGTTATACTTTTAGATCACAAAATATTGTGTATTTCAAACCCAAAGTGCATTTTCCTTCAGTTCCAAACATCTCGGTATTCCTTATTAATGCTGATTTTACCATCCAGGCTTTTGTATTATCTGAACAATATAATTAATGCACTATAAATTTCTTCCTATCTCCATTCAGCTGCAGACAATAAAATATTTCTACTTAAGAGTGTCTTATACGGTCTGTATGACTTACTTTTTGTTTCCAAATATATATTAAAGTGAAGAACTCTAAACCTCCTAAATGGTTTGAAGCCTATTGATCAGAAGACAGGTTGAGGTCCATCTAGCCTAATTCAGATAGATAAACATTTAGTAAGTACTCAATTCTCTGGAACTACAAGGTGCTGATGAGCATTGATATAGAAAGTTTGCTTCCTATACTGACGAAATCACAGGTCCAAAATAATAATACCAATACATAATAATAAATTGTTCAAGGATCTGTGCTGGACATTGGGAATGACAAAGGCAAAAATGAAACAGTTCCTGCACTCAAGGAGCTTGCATTTTACTTGGGGCGGGGGAGGAGGAAGATGGGGGAAAGAGGGAAGTAGAATAGGGGATAGCATTTATACAGATAAGTAGATTTTAAATGTGCAAAATAATTTCAGGGAGGATCATGTACTGGCAACTGGGTTGGGAGGTAGGAATGTTGTCAGAAGAGGCCTAGGTTAGGGTGTGGCACCTAACTTAGGCTTTGAAAGAAGCTAGGAATTCTATCTACAAGGTAGAGAGGAAGTTCATTTAAGACATGGCAGTCTACTTATGTAAAGGTAGGAACTGGAATACAGTTTACAGAAAATAGCTAGCCGACCAATTTCAATGGAACAGAATATTTATAAAGAATTCACTTCAAGTCTGTTGAACCTATAATACTAGAACCTTAGAAAGGGCTTTTTTTTAATTTTAGCATTCTTCAACACCTGAGATATGTTGAAATTTATGACAATTCCAGATTGGAGCCGGGGTGGGGGGGTGAGAGATGGGGTGCTTTGGGTGAAGAGTCTTCATCTCGTAACTCATATCTAGACATGCCTAAAGGTCTTTTTTTCTTGTTTAGGCTTGTCCTGATGTGTGATTTTCATTACCTAGTCTAGTCATTCATTTATGCTAAAAGTAAAACACTAGGGACATAGGACTTTGAGGAGAGATTGCAGAGGAATATAAAGACACATGTGGTCCTATCCTCAAGGTACTTACAATAGAATAGTTGAGACAAGAAAAACAGAAATGGAACAAAAGTCAGTGAAAATAGAAAGGTAAGATGTCATCAGTTACCATTAAACAGATTAAAAATGAGCATATTTTAAGGATATATTGAAAGAACGGGAGTCAGGTGAGATTAATACAAAGTTAGCCTACTAACAATGTGTTCTTAGAAATTCTGTTATAGACACAGACGTATATACATTCCAGCACATCACAGGCATATTACCTATGTGACATAAATTTCACCTAAAAAGAATCTTCCTAATGGATTTTCCCTCAGATAGGAATTGAGCATTACTTCTGAACACCATCTTTACAAAACAACACTCTTGATTAAAGCTAAATAGATTTCACCAAGCACAGCTCTTTTATCAACAAACTCAGTGAAAAGAAATAAAGGTAAATTTGTATCTAATTCCTTGGCATTCCCTTTTTGTGCTATACCCATACCTTGGTACATGGGAAGCCACTGGGCAGTGTTACTAATTGCTATTATGTTTGGGAACTCTGCTAAATTATATGAATGGTCCCAGTGTTATTGACCCCAGCTCCCTGTTTCTACCTAAACAGGAAACGTTCTGACAGTTCCGAATTGCTCCTACTTTCTCCACTTGTGCCTCGTGATGTGATGGCACGTTTTTTTTCCTTTCTCTCTCAGCTTTTCTCTTCCTGAAAAACTGGAATATGTGGTCACCAAGTATGCTGAGCATTCACATGACAAATGGGCCTGTGACAAGGTAGGGATTATCATCCAACTAACAATTGTCAGAAAAAGAAGAGCCAAAGAACATTAAAGGGTTGAGTCTTGGAAATCTGCCCAATTTATCTAAGTGACAGACTTACCATTCCAAGAGTATTCATTATTTGAGAGTAGCAATTTCCTGAGGTTTGTGGAGGTCAGTGGAAGAGGAGGCAGCAGCAGCTGCTGCTGCACCGTTTTTTATACCAGTCAAGGAAATGATCACTTCTAGAAATGTTAAATTTTTTCTTAGCATCAGAGAGTATGCATGCTTGGTATGGATTTGAGATAAGAGGGAAGGGAAGTAGAAGTGAAATTAATAAATTTCATAATTTAATAAATTAATAATTTAATAAAATTATAAAATTATAATATAATAATATAATAATTATATAATATATAATTTTATATTATATATAATTTATATATGATATATATTTTATATTATATATAATTATATATAATATATAATATAATATATTATTATATATTATATAATATATAATAATATAATAAATTAATAAAATCAATCACTCAACAAGTATTTATTAATTGCCGACTATGTGCCAGATATTCTGGGTGTGGGTGCCTAAGACAGAAATGAAAGTCACTTCTATCTGGGTAAACAACCTCTCTCTCTCTCTCTCTCTCTCCTTTTAAACAAAATGTGTACAACATAAATCCAGGGTAATTTTGGGAGGAGGCACTAGTACCTGGGTAAGTTGGGAAAGGGTTCATAGAGGTGACACTTGAATTGAGTTTTGAAAGAAGCTAGGGATTCTAAGAGGCAGAGGAGGAAGATATTATATGCATGGAGGACAGATTATGCAAAGACACAGAGAAAAGAAAGAGAATGGCATGTAGAAAAAACAGCAAGAAGGCCAGTTTATCTGAAATGTAAAGTGAATGAAGGGGAGTAATGTATGATAAGCCTGGAAAGGTGCATTGGAGCCAGATAATAAAATGCTTTACATACTAACAGAAGAGGTTATATTTAACACTAGAGACAACCCAAGATTATTGAGGTGAGCGGCACAGTCATAACTGTGCTTCGGGAATATAATTTTGTCAGCTCCATGGAAAATGGTTTGCAGAATGAAAAAAATTGTAGCAGAGGGACAACATAGATGGCTGTTGCTGATCCAGAAAGTTTTATTCTGGGCAAGAATACTGATCCAACCATAATAGTTATTATGTTGTAGTCCGTGATCGCACTTCTAGAGTCTCCTCTAAAAAGTGAGTCATTGAAGAGGAGCCAAGATGACTGATGAGTAGGAGCATCACTCTATGTACATGTTCAAACATCCAGAAAATGCACCAGACTGAATCCTGATGGGGAAGTCCAGGAAAAGTCACAGCAAGTCATTTGTCCATACAGACTTGACAAAGAGAGAAAGAAAGGGAGACTTGTAGAGAAGGGAGAGAACTCACTTCTCACTGCAGTGCCCAAGAAGAGGGTGTATACCAGTGCAAGAAGAGGTTCAAAATTCTCACAGAGTACTCCTAGGCCCATTCAAGGGCACTGTGATGGGGACAAATGCCAACTGACAGCTTTGTTGCTACCAGTTCTGAGTCACAGATTCAAAGAGGACTCCAAAAAAGGACTTGAGTGGAAGAGTGGTATTTCTGGTCAGGAAGATCCTGGGCAGTGTATTAAGAAAGAAGTTCAGAAACTAGTACCAATAGTGGTGTGGCTTAGACCCCAAGTCAGAGCAGAGTCCCACTTCTGGTATCTAGTCCAGCATGCCAAGTAATAAACAAGGCAGGAATCCCAGACCAAAGGGAAGCCTATAATTTGTGCCACTCTGAACCCAAGATAACTTTCCAGCTTGTTGATGGGGCAGTCAGTCCAGCAGCAATTTACTCTTGTTCAGACCCAAACCCAGATCAGGAATTTGTGGAACTTAAACCAGGGTGGAATCAGGGGAGGGAGTGGCAATCAAAATTTGCAGGATCAGACCACTTTGGGAACACTCAGGGTTTAAAGATCCCCAGCCTATCTCTGAGATCCTCATATCACGCAACATTCTTTACCCCAAGAAATCAGCAAGAAGACCAGCCCAGATCTTCTCTTCAAAAGTGTGGCAGGGCTCAGTAGTAATATAAATTCTAAAGTCAGGAAGTAGGCTGGAAGAATGGACAAACAAAAAAATAACCCCATCATAATGAGCTATTATGGTGGTAGAGATGCTCAGAACAAACGTAAAAGAGTTATTAAAACAAAGACAAAAGGCTGAAAAGAGAGAGAGAGAAAGAGAAAGAAAAGAAATGTAAATTATAACAAAAACAACTGATCTGTAAAACAGATCAAGGAGAAAAAATTTCAAGATCATTGACTATCCAAACACCATAATAAAAAACAGCCTACTTCATATTTCAAGAAATCTTCAAAGAAAACTACTCAGAAATCTTAGAACCAGAGGGCAAAATCAAAATAGAAAGAATCTACTTGTCTCTTCCTGAAAGAATACCCAAAATCAAAACTTCCAGGAACATTGTAGCCAAATTCTAGAGCTTCCAGATAAAAGAAAAAATGCTGCAAGCAGCCAGAAAGAAAGATTTCGAGTACTGAGGAGATACAATCAACATCACATGATTTAGCAGCCACCAATGTAAAATAGCAGAGAACTTGGGATATTACATTCCAGAAGGCAAAGGATATGGGCTTACAGCTAAGAATAACTTACCCAGCAAAACTGAGTATTATGCTGTGGGGATGAGGAGGAGGAGATTTCCAAATATACCTGATGAAAAGACCAGAGCTACAGAGAAACTTTGAAGTTAAAAACTGAAACAAAGAAAAACATTTAAAAAGGTAAACATGAATGGACTAAACAACTATAAAGTACTTGCATTCAAATATGGGATGTGATACTTATGTCTTCTCTGAACTTTATATTATCATCAAAGTTCATAGAGGAAATTCAGATAAATAAAACCTAGGTTCTGTTTTGATGACCTTAAGAAAAGAATGGGGGCAGCTAGGTGGCACAGTGGATAGAGTACTGGCCCTGGATTCAGGAGGACCTGAGTTCAAATCCAGCCTCAGACACATAACACTTACTAGCTGTGTGACCCTGGGCAAGTCACTTAACCCCATTGCCTAGCCAAAAAAAAAAAAGAAAAGAAAAGAAAAGAATGGAAAGAAAGGAGGATTATATTGACAAGGAAGGGAAAGGAAGGAAGATTAGGGAAAATTGTCTGACATAATCAGGGAACACAAGGAGATATCTATAAAAACAAGGAGGAGGGGGATGGAGTGAGACAACTGTCACTTGAACCTCATTCTCATATAAACTGGTCAAAAAAAGGAAGAATACTTACATTCACAGTTTAGTATAGAAATACATTTCACTCAACAGGGAAATAGGAGGGAATGGAGAGAAGTAGGGTGGGGGAATTAGAGGGGAAGTGTATGTTAAGGGAGAGATTAGTCCTGAGCAAAACAAACTAAGAATGTACAAAAGTATTTATAGTTCTTTTTGAGGTGGCAAAGGATGAGATTCTTAGGAGGCGCCCATAAATTGGGGAATATGTTACCAAACTATGGTACATCAATGTGACAGAATACCATTGTGGTAAATTCTTATCAGAGTAATGACCTAACAAGATTCCAAAGGACTAATGATGAAACATGCTATGCACCTCTAGATAGAAAGGCGAAGGACTCAAAATGAGAGAATTTTTTTTTTTAGAAATTTGTTTCAATTGACTATACTTGTTCTTAATGGATTTTTTTTTCTTGTATTCTCAATTGAATGGAATGGGAGGACAAGGAGGTGGATACTGACTGATTAAAATGAATAAAATATTTTTTAATTCCGTTATTACATCTAGCATTCAAAATTCCTTAACTGACTGTATGCTTAGTAAGCTTAACTGTTTTATCAGCTGTTAAAGAATGAAAGCTATACCATAGGAGTTGAGCCAAAGGAATCCAAAATTCTAATGGACCATCTGTTTGAAAATGTGGGCTACATGGCCCAGAACAATTAATCTGTTTTCACATGAAGAAGAAGCTAACTGGGTATAATTTGGGGCTAAAATCACTTTTAAGTCTTAACTATTCTAAAGTACTCTCAATTCTGTTCATCCCTTTATGTACATCCCCTTTCTACTTTCCTATTTGGGGCTAATGTTGGCAATAAGAAAGATAATAATGATAGACTAATACTTTGTTATTTCTAGAACACATTTATTTCCTAAATGGCTTCACATTTTCCCGTTTGAAAATTTTGTGAACTCAGGAGGGATCAAGAAATATTATCCCCACTTTTAGATGAAAGAAACTGGATCACGAAGAGGAAAAACAAGTCCTAAAAGTTCTACATTATTCAAGGCATTATCAGAACCTGGCCCTGTTCTTTTCCAATGCAGCAACACTTTCCTTCGGGCTCTGCTAGTTCTTATAATTAACATTACTGAGAGGAAATGTGGTGTCATAAATTAAGTACTGTGCTATCTCTGATCAAGAAGGCCTAGGTTTGAATCCCACCTCATACATTAGTTGTGTGAGCCTGGGCAAATTACTTACCCTCTATCAACCTATTTCCTTATCTAGAAAAGGGACATAATAAGACATCTAGTACTTATTTCAGAGGATGAATGTGATGATTCAATGAAATAATGTCTATAAATCATTTTAAATATAGCATACAAATCTGTATGTCTGTTTTTTTCCTGAAATGTGATTTCATTGGTGTAGGGAGCTCCTGGTAAAGGACTGTCTCTAACAATGCAGATCAACACATTCTCTATAGTTTTTTATACCCTAGAGAGTTTTCTTGGGTACTGAGAAGTTAGGTGACTTGTCTAGAATCATAGAGACAATACATATGGAAGAATGTACTAGAACTCAGATCTTTCTGACACTAGGTCTAGCTCTCTATCAGCTTCTCCATGCTGAAAATACTACATAAATGTCAGTTGTTATTGTTTTTATTATTATCTCAATAATCATAACAAGTTTCTATAGTTAATTATACTCATTAGGTTGTG